CCAGACTTCCCAGTTGAAGTCCACCCGCCTTCAAGCGGCCAAGGTTGTAAAACACTGCCCTAGACTATTTTCAGCTTGGGATTTCCTCATTTTGCAGATCTCACCACCTTGTCCACCTGCTTCCCTCCCCATTCCAGCCCGAGAGGAGAGCAAGACATTCTGCTGCCTTCGTCACTCCTTCAGCCCACCCTCTTCTTTGCAGCACCCAACTGATCTTGGTTGACCTGTAAAGGCAATTTGGTTTTGGATTTGGTTTGTCCTCGGATGCATGACTACCAGGAAATGGTCCGCTTGTCCTTGGATGAGGGACCACCAGGAGATCCCAGGGCTTAGCGCTAGGAAGCTTAAAAAAAAGTGCCAGGAGGCCGAAGTGGCAAGCCCCTTGCGGGTGCCAGAGGTCAAGCCCACCCCGCGGGAGGCTTCGCTCACCTCATTTAACGAGTTGCCCATCCGTGTCCGTTGGGAGGCATTTGAGGGAACTCTGTAAGGAAGTTCTCTGCCCCAGGATGCTCATCCTCCTTGACCCCCTCCAAGGCTTCTTTACACCGGAGTAGCTTGGCCATTTCTAGCCATTATTCCAAAGGCAGCTGGTGGGTTTGTGGGCTCAGCAGGTTCACGTTTTAAGCACTCTAAAACCATTGTCCTCTCTCTGGGCTGCTTCTCCGGGGAATCGGGAGCCGCGCCGGCAGCTCTCTGGAAATGCCAGGCCCCGCCACCAGCAGAGAGGCAGGCGGGGGGCAGCTTCCCCAGCCAGAGACGCTGCTGGCTGGGGTGACCGAGATGCAGTCCAGCTGCTCTGGACGGGGCAGGCGGGGAGGGCCCGTCCAGGCAGTGACATCAATACATCACGGAGGCCCCCGCTCGGCCAGTGCACGGGGAGGGCGGGCAGCAACCAGGGCTCCAAGGGATTCCCGATGGCCTCTCGGTGCTCGGCTCTCTGAGGGGCAGGGCTGGGCATTTAGCTGCTCGGTGTTGGGGGGCCTGGCGTGGCAAGCAAACAACTCTTTCTTACAAAGTCACGCTAACTCAGCTTGTAGCAAATCGCCCAAGACAGCAATACTTTTATTCAGCAGCTCGGTGGCAGATGGCTAGGGAAAGAGGGCTTACATGTGGGACGCAAGAAGCCTCCGGAGCAAACTTCCCAGCAGCCCCCACAGACGCCCGGCCCCACCTGCT